CCAATCCTCTGGAGCTCCTGCTCCAGTTGAGAAGTCTACAAAGCACTGGAGCAGCAGAACCAGAAAGATTTGGCTCTGCTTTCTGCAGCTCTCTGCAAAACACCTGAGCAGCAATCCTGGTTAAAAGCTGCACGAAGGTCAGCTCTCTCTAGGCCATGACCCACCACTTCCAGATGAGTTTTGTACTCCCTGGATACTAATATACAGAGAAACAGCTTCCTACCCATTGCAACCTGAAGCCACCCCTCCTCACACTTTCTGCAGCTTTTTTTCCTCTTCTACACTGGCAGGTGATTGTTCACCTCCAGGCTGAAACCAGGCCTTTACAGTGGTGACAGCACTCACTGCTGGGTTTCTACACAGTCAAAATAGCTGTGGCTCACATTACAGAGAACACTTGTACTGCCCAGCAGAAAGAGCTGTGAATGTTTCAAAAGCAGAACACAGCAGCAAACTTGGAGAAAGGAGAAAAACAGAAGGGAAAGTAAGAAGGGTGGGGGAGAATGGAAAATAAAATATGGAAAAAAGAAGAAAAGATCAAGGCTGGAAGGAAGAATAAGATAGTAGGTTGACTTTAGTAAAGCTCAGGCACCAATCCAGCCTGAAGGCACTGGTCACCTGGCACACTGCCCACCAAGGGACAGGCATTGCATCAGATCAGATGCCAGTTCCCCCACACCTCTGGCTCTGGGCTGTGGTCTGCCTTCTGCACAGACAGTCAGTGATTTAGTTTCAATCTTATAAATTATTTACATCGTATATGAGGAATTGGAGATGTTAGAGATGGAAAAGATGCACTAGCCCTTCCCCAGGGAAGAGAGCTGGATCCATCCCTATGTCACACTAGCAAATCAGTGATGCTCAGTTTCTCTTTGGAAAGCTGTTTTGCTGCTTGGTGTCTTTCCCAGGCTGAATTTCTTCATGATAACTTTACATAAACTGCATTTGCTTTAACTCCTCATTCCTTTTGCCTGGAATTACTGCCTTCTGCATGCGTCCTCTGCCATTGCACAGCATCACTGGCTATTTAAACTATTTAAAACTAAGGTTTTCAAAGGAAACTAATCATTCTGCAGACCCCAATAAAAGACACATTAAAGGATAATTCAAAGATCACATATTTTAAAAAAATTCATGCTGATTTTGAAGACTGAGGACCTTGCAATAGAAATTCAGTCTTCCTGCCTTCGCCTCCCAGAAGCAGAGGGCAACAGTTGGCTGGTGATGCGCTCAGCACACAAGTATTTCCTGTACTGGGGTCCGACCACTCTGTGAAGTTACTTCTGCAACACCAAAGCAGAAGATTGACTCCAGCACAGCTCCATCCCACATCCCACCATGCTCTGCCGCCTGCAACCAGTGACTCTGGGGAGCTGCCAGACTGACTCAACCACCATTGGGCTGACTGTGCTGGTGGGATACCTCTCCCTGAGCACAGTGCTTTCCATGATGGCCCATCACCTCCACCTGAGGCAGACCCACAGGGGCATGAGACCCAACTCCTCCACCATGTCCTGGGGTGCACCAGGCCCAGCACTGCCAACCGGCTGAGGGAAGGGGTTGTCCCACTCCGCTCTGAGCTGTGTGGCTGCACCTTGAGAACCAGATGTAGGTTTGGGTGCCACAATATAAGGACATAAAATTAGGCAGTATCCAAAGACGACTACGAAAATGGTGAAGGGTATGAAGGGCAAGACGTATGGAGAGGAGCTGCGGTCCCTGGGTGCGCTCAGCGCAGAGCAGAGGAGCTGAGGGGAGGCCTGATGGCGGCTGCAGCTCCTCACAGGGAGCGGAGGGCAGCGCTGAGCTCTGCTCTGTGTGACAGCGACAGGGCCCAGGGAACGGCATGGAGCTGTGTTCAGGTGGGGGTCAGGGACAGGGTGTGCACCAGGGGGTGGTGGGCATGGAACGGGCTGCACAGGGCGGTGGGCACAGACCCAAGGTGCCGAAGTTCAAGAAATATTTGGATAATGCTTTCAGACATAGGGTTTCATTTCTGAGTGGTTCCCTATGGAGCCAAGAGATGGACTCGATGATCATGAGTCACAGCATCCCTTCCAGCTCAGGATATTCTGTGATTCTAGGATTCTAACCATGGCATGCCACAGGATGTCAGGTAATGGGGCAACACCTGACTGCACTGCGTGGACCTGACCCAGAGCAAAGTCCAAGGGCCAGATGGCCATCCACCACCACAGAGCCCTCTGTCCAACAGTGATCTCAGGGAACAGGCATCACATCATTGCTTAACCAGTGGCATGTGGCCAAGAAGTGACAGCCCTGGCCGAGGACTATGTGTGGGGCCAGGGTGACTCACCATGATACGGCAAGGAAAACAGAGTAGAAAGGAACTCTGTGTAGAAGGCAAGCCAGTCAGCAGGTGATGGCACAAAGGAGCTGGGACTTCCATGCTGCTTGCTGTGACTGAGTGCAGGACACAAAGTGGGAGGGTGGGAAACAGGACACAGAAATGTCTTCAAATCAGCCCATGAGTTATCCATAGTGTGAGACCACCTGGGAGAAAAAATCCACAGAGAACATTTAAATGGTCCTTGTCAGTAATGCGTGGTTTCATTTCCTGCCCAGGAAGGTTCCAAGGGGTAAAACTTCCTTGGACCAGGCATAGAAAAGCTGGAGGGAAGATGCTGTAAAAGAAGAAGCCACAGGGAAGTGTAAGTTTCTGTTTTGGAATGAAAATTCACATGCTAACCTTCAGTTTGAGAGTGAAATGGGAGAGAAATTCTCCCATTTAAAGGTGATGGGTAAAGGGAGAGTACAAGTTTCTTCCTGCTACACAGCTGGTGAATACCCTGAATCATTGGCAGCTAACAGATAAACTCTAAGCAACACAAGAGAGAAAAAGAAGAAGGAAAATAACTATTAATTAGAAGGAAGAAGGATGGAGAAACAAAGCTGTATGCAAGCTTTAAGTATGGAGAAAAGCTTCTGGTAGAAGGAGATGGCAGTTTGCAACCGTCCAGGCAGACAGTTCTCAGAGTATCCATCTGCAACCGAATCTTGACGCAAGCTCCTCTGACCTACAGACACAAATCCATTTATTGCCAGGCTGGGACAAGAAGGAGCGGTGTCTCTGAGCTGGGTGCCAGAGCCACTCTCTGATTCAGCAAAGCCCTTGATAAGAAATGTCATCCTCCATTGAGTAATTTTAGCCTGTGAGATAAGAATCTCTATCAGGCTCAAACATATGGCTGGCTGCAGAGCACGGAGCAAAATGAGACGGGTAATTTATTTGCTTGTGCTAAGAGCACTTCCAGGCTCAGAAAAGCTGATGCAATGAAATAATAAGTGCCAAATTACAGTATGTTCTTCTTTGGAGACTTGAAAGAGGCTCCTGAGAGATACAAGAGGCTCATCTATGCTGTCCAAAGCATCCCTGTCTCTCTTCTGAGCATCAATCTATCACAGACACCAGTACTATGACCAATGAATGTGGATCTGCATGGGATTTTCTAAGATTTGTTCCCCTCATTAAGTCCTACTCATTACACAGGAACATGAGCACCCCACAGACATGCTGGGTGCTCTGTATGAAATGTCAGTGATTACTGAGCAAGGAGGAAGATGAGTAGTTAAGTGACAACTACACAGCACCAGTAGAGCCAGGGGCTGAACTCCAGTTTCAGGAGATATACCCTGGATGTTAGAGAAGTTTAAAATTTATGGCATGCAGCACTACTGATGCAGTCAGTATTTACCATCTCCCACTTCAACTTAGCACCTATGATTAGGTGATCTGGGCTAATGTGCAGAACACAATACTGGGCAGGCATTGCCAGGCTTGGCTGCCTAACCTACACTGAGATAACAAACTGAATGGTTTCATTCTGTACAACCATTTCTATTCCCTCTCATTTTTATCAGTGCGGCTGTTACTTGACATGTAACGTACCCCCCCATCATTACCTTCAACTGGGGGATTTTCACTCTCAAACTGAAGATTAACATGTGAATCTCCATTCCAAAACAGAAACTAGCAGTTCAGTGGCAAACATTCCAAGTTGGTTCTCCAAGGAATTGAGTGGCCCTAGACTTTCAAAGTGTCCTTCCCCCCTACAATTCAAAGCAGCTGCAGAAATATAGAGGCTATCTGTGACACACTTGGTCACAGATAGCCTATTCATTAATATGAAATCAATGTTGTCTCTTGACCAGCAGTATCTTCCCATCACCAGATCTACCAATCATCACCATTCTCACTAGAATTATCAGCAGTTAAGCCAGAGACTGAGTCATGAAGATTAACAATTTCTCAATAATACTAAAAGATGGCCCTTCCAGCTCAGTTCTGAGACACAGTGGTGAAGGGCAGTGGGGAAACTGATCTGCCAAGAATTAAGTTGTCATCTCAGGAGGCGTTCAATCCAACATCTTTCATCCCCATCGAATCAGACAATATTAACACAATGATACACGTCTATATGCACTTGCTGACAAGGCTTTGACTGCAACATCACCTCAAAGGACACACAGCAACCTCAAAGGATGAGTCTGATAAAAAGCACGATTCATCTTTTTCTTATTTTGTGGGTTACATTGTCACTTGGAGCCTTACTGTCTTTCCATCCTTACTACTTCACAGCCTTCACATGAACCAGTTGGACCACCTAAAGCACATCAGAGGAGTCATGTGTCCACCCAGCCATAGAACTCTGCCAGCAGGACAGAGCAAGCCCAAGGCCCCACTGCAATCTCAGCCACCTCTGAGGATGCCTCCAAGGAGCCATCTCAGCACGCTGGACTCCAGGGCACAAAACAAGGAGACGCGTGTGTTTGTGAGGAGCAATGTTTGCAGCACTATCAACTTCCTTTCCTGTAACCAACATTTTTCAATCCTCCAGAACTGGTGAATCAAAACAGGTAGCTGTGCTCTACTTTTCCCAGCTCAGTATTTCTCCTTATGAGGCTTTGGATGAAGCAGTGCAATAAAGCCCATTACTTCAACATTTGGAAAACATTTGGCTGTTTTGGGATTCTTCTACCTTTTGAAGCCTCAGTCCCACCGCAGAGGTGAGGATGCAGGTCTGCAGGATCACGTCTTCTCTTTCCTCCTGTATCTTGTACAATCTTCTGAGTAAAAATCAATCTCTCCAAAATGAGAGCTACACTCCAGGCTTTTCTCCCTTTAAGCACTTCTGACAGCAACACAGTATTGATTTTTACTTCTTCTAGAAAGTATCCAACTGCATCCCCTCTCCTGGTGTGACTGGAAATAAACACTTAAAACCAGCCAGTTCTGAAAGTCTGTGGCAGGGGCTGTCTGGAGAGTTCAGAATATTTTTCCAAATAATGTAAATCTGAGCCAAATCACAGCCCATCAAACTTCATAATCCAAATAGTGGATGAACCTACAAAGAAAACACAATTTTAATATCTACTTTCGGGATTCACACAATTTTTTTTCTTAGTATTAAAAGAGCTGGAATGTTTACTCCCATACAACTGTAATGTTTGGTCCACCTTCAAGGGATGTCCTGACCTTACAGCACTGAGAGTAGAACACCTTGTTCTTGCTCACACATTCAACCAACAGAGCTGAACATGAGATGTCAAATACAGCTGGAAAAAAAACAACAGAATAATTCCATAATCTTTGCAGGGTTTCAAGATTTTGTTTTTTTTCTTCCACTTTAAATGAGTGAGAAAAAAAAACAACAAAAACTTTGAAATTCCGAAGGTTGCTAAAACACAAAATAATTTTGATAGGAAGTGCTTTGTTTAACAGTTGGAAATTTTGCCTTGGCTATTATAAACTTCCACATTTTTCACTGTAACTTGCATTAGAAACAGTCACTTCAAACACAAAACAAAATACACATAAATTCAAATGAACAAATCAGTAGCCAACCTTCTCTAAAAGATCACTAAAGCTTTCCCAAAAAAATGTGAGGCTGCTGGAGCAGGTCCAGAGGAGAGCCACAGGGATGATCAGAGGGCTGGAGCACCTCTCCCATGAGGACAGGCTAAAGGAGCTGGGTTTGTTCAGCCTGGCGAAGACAGGGCTCCAGGAGACCTCACTGTGGCCCTTCAGAATTTAAAGAGAGCTTATAAGCAGGAAGGAAACCAACTTTTTACATGCTCTGATAGTGCTAGGACAAGGGACAACAGTTTTAAACTAAGAGAAGAGATATAGATTAAATGTTAGGATGAAACTCCGTACTAAGACAGCGGTGAGGCACTGCTACAGAAGCTGTGGATGCCCCATCCCTGAAGGCATTCAAGGCCAAATTGGATGGGGCTTTGGGTAACTCGATCCAGTGGAAAATGAAACAGGGCAGAAACTAGGTGAGGTCCCTTCCAACCCAAACCACTCTTTGGTTCTATGATTCTATGACTAGTGTGCTGGAAGTAAACAGCTCTAGCACTTATTAGGATCACAGGGATCACAACTAGGAAGAGAGGTCCTAGAAAAAGCTTTACGAAAATATTCCTAGCATTTGTCTCCATCCTATGAATCACTGAACCAGGGTCCCTGCCACGTAACCAAAAGCACCAGATGGCCCATCCTTGGCCAGGTCACGATGCTGTGTCACGCATTACAGAAAGAAACGCGGACCTTCAGGCCATCCATCTTGCATGCATCTTCCACATGCACGTCTCCTCCTCACTGAAGAGTTTGTTACACATCAACCACAAGCTTCCACCTTCTTCTTCCACTTTAACTTGGACAATCTCCAGTGTCACCTCACCATCCCTGGAAGGAGATGACACACTAACTTAATTCTGAGTGATGGAGATTCTCTATTATTCAAACATTCGAGCTGCTGTGCACTTTTCAAGACTGGGTGTCTACATCTGTGCTTTTTGATGAGCTCCTCAAGCTGGTCTGCTCTGAAGACATGCTGTAACACTGAAAATTATCTACAAGTCTTTAAGGAAAGCAGCGAAAGGGGAGTAGGGGCAATGCGGTGTGAGGAGATTCAATGAATACTAAGGCTGGGTGTATATCAAAAGAAATGTGACTGTAAATCCAGAGTTTGGAATGTGGAGCCCATAAGGAGACTGTATGGCTTAGGGCATCTGGAATAATGGCGTGTTATCCTCCAGCTGCCAGGAATACTCCTGTCAGCAGGGCACAGAGCTGACCCAGTGACATGGAGAGCACAGCTTCCAGCAGTACCCCTGCAGAAACCCCAGCCAGGGGCAGCTGAGCTGTCCTGCAGTCGACTCTCCCCAGGGGGTACAGCGCATGCTGACAATCCTGGCAAGTGTATGAGCAATGCAGTGCTGAAGTGCTAAACACAGATACAAGCCAGGGAGCCAAAGAATTTCCCACAAATTAGGAGACTGACGAGGATATCTATGAAAGCGGGGCTTGCCCTGTCTGAAGTGAAGTAAGTACTGCCACTTCAGACAGACACTTTACAAACATTACTGAGCTGCAAAAGGTAGACAGTCACTCATAACCAAGCAAATCCACGGGCCACAGTGCTTACAACAGGCGACACTTACATGCAAGACCTACAAACATGCAACCCGAATGCTAAAAGCAAGAATAATTTGTGTTCTGATCTGTACTGCCTTCCTCACCCCAGTTTCCTCAGCACGTGGCTGTCTGAACCGCTGCCTCTTCCATTCCTTCATTACTAATAGACTAGCATCACACACAGCAGCAGGTAGTAAAATGCAACGATAGGGATGCTAAATGCACTGTCTTCAACCAACTTAGCAGATGTGCTAAGGAAACATCTGGATATTATTTCCAAAAAGCTTTCCAGATTTCTCATCAGATCAACACCCTTGTTTCCACTGAGTTACTATACGTAAGAAACAAAATAAAACTGATAATAAAAGCATGCCAATTGGAAAGACTGTAAGCCCATTGTGTCTAATGCCTAGAAATAAACTAGCACTGACTGAGCACCCTCAGTGGGGCTGTCAGTCCATGACTCCAAGGCAAGGAGCCTGGTGCTGCAATGATGGATTACGCCGGCAAGGGGCTGGCAGGCTAACCCTCTCTATGGTTAATTTTCATAAGATAAAGTGATTCAACCAGAGATGATGTGGTAAAAGAAATCACTGGACTCTAGGGGTCATTGGTACATGGCTTCCTCTGCACCAGTGTGGTCTCCTGGTGATATAACTCTGTGAAATCCCTCTTGTTAACCAACTACCTTCCCTCTGCTTTGTAAAATACATACCAGCAACTCTCAGCCATATATGTTTTTTGACATGAGGCTGGTACAGCGAGAAAGGCTGGACTAGAACTTATTTTAGATTACAAATCAAGGGAAAAAAAATCAAAAAGACTAATGAGGTGCTTAGTGTATTAAAGAAATGGCTATATGGAAACTTTTCAAACGTGTGAGACCTACGGGACTGGCTGAGGCAAGAGGCATAATTAGCCCAACATGAGCTCACCAGGCAGGTCCACAACGCTTGGATGCACAAATGATGGATGTCACGTACCAGCAGAGAGGCCCTGTTATCTTTGGGCCATGGGTTGGCAGTCAATGGAGTGCAAGGTTTTATACTTATACCCACACTTCAAGAATAATTCTGGAAAAACTGGAGAGAGTTCAGAGAAAAGTTGCAACAACAAAACCAGGCTTGTACCAAGGAGCTCAGGGAAGTCAATCAAAGGAAAAGTTAAAAGGTACCTCATAACCTGTAAGTACCTGTCAGTAAGAGTGCTCTCCAGCCTACCAGACAAAGGCAAGCAAGACCAAAGGTTGAAAGTTGAAGCTTGACAGAAAACAAACCAGACACAAAGATATCACTTTTCAGTGCTGCAGTGAATTAACAGATGGAAAAGTCCTCCAATAGGTATGGTCAAAGCTCCAGTACTGGCAATTTTTAAACTAAGATCAGACTCCACCTTCACCTCTCTTCCTCCCACAGAAATGCACACCTTGGTCCATCCCCACCTACTGAACCCAGAGTGGAAACCAATTCAAGGAAGTGCTCCAATCTTTGCTGTTAGATTAAACAAATTCAACAACCTTAAAACCTCAAAGTCAGTGAACTACAGAGAATAAGCAGCCCAGTTATCGGCAGCTAGGACCCCACTAGCCCTGAGGAATCCCAATCCCACTTGCAGGTCCTCTGCCCCCTTCCAGCACCACAGTAAGGGACTCTGCAGAAGTGCCAGATCTCCAACCTGAGTGATAAGGTAAGCCACAATTAAACCAAGAAAACCACAGTGATTTTTTCCAGTTCCAAGTAAACCTCCCAAAGAATTGGGAAAAACCACAACCAGGCAGAAACGTGAAAAAACTGCACTGACCAGGCAGAAAAAAAGCATGGTGAAAGGCACATAAAACAGAAAGGGCTTTTAGAGGTGAATTCAGGAAAAGATTGCCTATCACAGTCAGGTTTCTTCCCGAATGGCTTCCCAGCAGACAAATTCCCTCCAGCTCTCAGGCAGGAGGTGATGAGACAAGCATGGCCCCCCAGTGCCAGCTGTACTTCGGAGGGCTGTCCCTGTAATTAGCTTCTCAGCAAAGCTGACTGCAGATGTTTGGCAGCCAGATTAACCAGTGGACAAGGAAATGCAAATAAATTTGAGCAAGGAATCACCCTACTCAGGTGCTGATGTCAGAAGCCCTGTTTGCCAGAGCACAGCCCAATTGCCTCGGGTGGCAGGGACACCTCCGCGGGTGTTCCACCACTGCAGGCAGGAGGATGGACATTTAGCAGAGCGTGTGACTTTCTGAACTTGTCAGAGCAGCAGCTGAAACCAGCAGAGAGCAACTGCGTTTTGACATTGTTCCTTAATTCTTCCTTTTGAGATGTCACCATTTATTGTTATATCTTCACTGTTAGCCTGGAGAAGAGAAGTCTCTGGGGAGATTGCTTTGCAGCCTTTCAATTCTTAAAGGGGCTTATAATGTAGGAGAGGAGAGACTTTTTTACTGAGGCCTGTATTGTTAGGACAAGGACTGATGGTTTTAAAATGAAGGAGGGGAAATTTAGGTTAGGTGTTAGGTAGAAATTCTTTGCTCTTAGGGTGGTGAGGTGCTGGCACAGGCTGCCCAGAGAAGTGGATGTTCTTGAAAGCATTCAAGGCAGGTTGGATGGGGCCCTGAGCAGCTGACCTGGTGAACTGCAACCCTGACCATGGTAGGGGGTTCAAACTTTGAGGCTGCAATCCAACCCATTCTATGACTGTTAGTTTGTCAGGACAAGCTGTTAGAGAGCTGCTGGGCCTCTCTGCTGTGGATGCAGCTGGCATGTTTTCCCAGACAAAGCTGTGATTTAGACTCAGGTTGTGATGCCTGCATACTGGCCATGTACAATAATACAATACAAAAATACAATACAATAATACAAACTGGACAGGGAGCCCTTTTTTCGCTTCCCCCACAGTCCAGCTCACTGCAGTCACAATTCAATTAGG